TATGGCACAGATGCTCCTCTAAGTCTTGATTTATTGACTCTGGTTAAAACTCGGCCATAAACCGTCTCAATAGCGTGTATTGCAAATCTGTTATAACTTGGAGGAGTGTTTGTTTTTTAATTTTTCAAGAGTTCACAGTTCTTTTCCCAATTGCAAACTCAGGGTGTAAAATAACAATAAAGCCCACTACTTTCTATTTTGTGTGGAATAATATGATGAAATTTACCCACAAGATATTTCAATGTTTCGTATTTTAATTTTTAATAGTAAAAATACATACATTTTTAACGACTTTATTAAAAAATCTGCAAGCAAATTTTTACAAAAATATATATTTAATACTTGTAACTATTTGTTTTTCCTGTTTGTTTCTTTATACCTGAGTGAATGCAATAGGTTTTATTGGTATAAAATCCTTTTATTCAGACTCAAACAACGATATCTATAAACATTAGTTGTTTTTTTCTCGTAACATACATTTGGTTTTGTAATAACCATTTAACATCTTATTATGTAGTTTACCTTTTACTTAAATTATACATAAATAAAAAAGAAGTTGCCTAACTAAGTAAACTATTTTTCGATGAATAAAAATTAGCTGTAATGCAAGAGTTTTATTCGGAAGGATATGAGTCTACTTAAGTAGAACATGGTTGGTAATAACATGGTAGAAGCTGCCCACTAAAGCCTCAGGTAAAGGTTTGGCGGAGGAATAGGGGAATATACAAGTTCAGGGCTTAAAACAGTCACCAGATTGTAATGCTAAATAGGCTACCTGTAAATCTTGGTTATTACACATAAAAGCCTTAAAAAAGAAAACAAGTTATCTCATTAAGATAATTACCAGTTCATTAATGGGTTGATTGCAGTAAAGTATATTTGCTTATGTTGATCAATAATCCAACTTTTTCAGAATAATAGAAATCAAACTATATTGGTAGGTTTAAAATAGTTAAAACTTTAAAGTAGTTGTAAATAGTTATGTACTTTATATAATTACATAGGCTTAGTTTACTATTTAAAACAATAATTGGCATTTTGAGGTTATTCTCAGAACTGCAGCCTAATATTCATGAAATTTATAACTTTTTTGTCTCTTGTTTAATTTAATGAATTTTTAATTTCACTCTATCATTATGTTCCCAATAGTTGATTGCAGTTGTGTGCCTGAAGTGGATGGCACAGCTTCCAATTTTGAATCTGAAAAAAAAAACAAATATACTTTTATCTTTACCCGTCAAAGGAAGAAAATCTATATACAAAAGTTCACGGCACTTAGGTCTAAAAAGAATATTTTGCAGATAAACACAGAACACAACTAACTATTATGTCATTATTTATTAATTATTAAATTATTAAGTATTGAATTGTTCATTATTTATGACTTATCTATTTATTCATGGTATAATCTTAATCTTAAAAATTTCAATTACATGAGCACAGAATATTTATCGCATCCAATTATAATTTATATTATTTATTTGTAATTTATAATAAATTTATAATTTATTGCAGTTATGGCAAGGTTATGTATTACGAAGCATCAAAAAAAATAACATAGCTATTAGTAAACGTATTAATTCAATGAATCACCTAACAGATTTTGCCAAATGCTATGCTTTTCTAAATTTAACAAGGTAAAAAATCAAAAATAGTGTTTTAGCAGCGCAGTTAACTAAATATGCAAGTAAAGTTCTGGGCAGTCCGCCATGTCAGTAGTAAATTACACTATATTATACCAGGATCAAGTTATTCTAGCCTCTCAAAATTACAAAACATTGCTTCGTTGATCATATTTGTTTATGTTTTATGATATTTTTGTGTATTGTTATGTATATACTGAGGAGTTTTCTCAACATTTTTGATAGTTTACCTTTTTGTTTGAGGAATATTTTCAAAATGTTATTGACAGGAGCTTCAACCGTCAAATGCAGAACTGCAGCTAGTAGATAACTGATCACAAAGTCTGCGGAGAACATAAACCACTGTAAACAAAAGACAGTTATCATCATCAATGTACCAATTGGAACTCCATATAGGATGTTAACTACTAGAACTATTAAAATCAATTCTAATGCATTTTATAAGATTTCCATAAGATTTATACTTAGGTATATTAACATTATTTGAATTTGTTTTACAGTTCCTCAATAGTTACACTGAAAATTCTAATTTTAGTTGTTTAAAGAAATCCCTATTTAAGTTTGTGGTTTTGCCAAAATGATTTACCCTTGGAATTGCATTTTTTTAAATTTATTATGTTGTAATAAACTTTGATTATTTATTAAAACTTATCAAATAGGTAATGGAATATTTTTTTGTTACGGCCTTGTTTTATCAAAATACTTAGGATAGTATATTTAAAGATTTAAAAAAATACAAGGTACATTGCTTGCATCAGTATGGGAGATGTGTATTCATTACACTGTTGAATTATATGACAGTATTTATGAATTTTATTTTATTTTACCTGGGGAAATATGCTACTTATAACTATAAAATACATTATTTTCCAGAACCTTTAGGCGTTCCTTCTTCAGACTTGTGCAATGGAAAATAATCATACCAAACTCCTGGATACAATAGTATAGTATTCGAATAGTTTATTTATTAAGGGTTTCTCGTTTGTTATTTTTGCTGATCAAAAATATTTTGTGCTTGAGATTGGATTTAAATTGGTTGCTGTATCTTAAACAAACATTAAGTACCTATCAGATTCGAACTAGTTTGCCCTGACAATAATTTACCATGTTAAATCTTGTTGATTTATTATGCAAAAATGATTTCTTTAAGTTAATTATAATAATACAAATCAAATATAAAATTTAAAAAGACTACACTATTATTTCTTTGACATAGTTATTTAAAAATTAAGAACAACATGAGAAACAAAATTACGTATGAAATTGGCAAATTTGGCAAGATTGATTGGTTTACTTACCAAATTTAAGAAGTCAGTCGTGACTGCGGTTTTGGTACTGAATGCCTGGACATCTTGAACAAAGAAGTGGACAAGAAACGCACAGTATGTGAGCCGAGATAACACAACCATTCCCGACCATCCTAGCAGAGTGTTCACGACACCTGGTAGGCAGAATCAGATGATTTTGAATCTGAATCTAGCAGGAAAAAAACAATAAGTTGTGTTTGGATCAGTTTCCACTCACTAAACCACAGTTTACTATATTCAATTGCTGTTTTCCAAATTCCTTAATTTACTATTGCTTAAGGTATTGTTATTACTACATGTAACCTATTAATTTACATTTTCTGCATTCGTAGATAATTATAATGCATTTCGGCATCATGCTTTGCTCTATGCTATAGCAGAATGGTCCAAAACATATTTCCGCACTTCTCATTGATAGCGCGAAAACCCCCTTTAGAATCTGTAAAACAGTTGTTTTCTTATTCCTACCATCTTAAATTTTTAAATTAATAGTGCATAAAAAAAGAAGAAGAGACATGTTATCTGGGTCTAAATCGAAATGTTTGACATTGGGATGTCAAACATTTCTTCTCAACAATAGGGATATATTAAAATGAACATAACGATATCCTTTCAATTTTATTTTGAAACCATTGATTAGTGGTGTTTAGGAGAACATTTAAGACTAACCTGTACACTTTCTGGATTTCCAAACATACCAAACATATTCTTTATGATGGTTCATGTTTGATTGAACTCTCTTCGATTGACTGGTTTAGAAAACAATAATTCAGGCCAGTTCCATTAAATGTGGCCAGTACATCAAATATCACATTTTATGTTTTAATCTGTTTAATTAACAAGTCCGTAAAGGAAACTTTATAAAGTGTTGAAAGGCTAAGGAATCTCTATTTTGCTGCGGTGACAGCTATCCACAAAGTAAAGAACGTTTCGTTATGACGCCACAAGGCGCGCTGATCTCGTACACTGAGTTGCCAAGTGCGCACGCACCAAAATGTACGAGATCAGCGCGCGCTTAGTGGCGTTATAACGAAACTTTCATTACTTTCTGGATAGCCCTCGTATTTTAATTGAAGTAAAGTTGTAGAAGAGTATATACATAAGATAAGACACAGTTTTGGTTAGGTGATTTTTGAGTTTTTGGATAATTCCTGTTCAGTAAATAAATAAAAAAGTTTAGTAAAGCTATCCTAACCTAACCTAAACTGTGGGGTTTCCACAGTTTGAATAGTGGTGTCCTTTTTCTGAAAATAGTCCTATAAGCATTTTTAACAAAAATAAAATGTATACGTTTAACTTTTAGTTTAATTTTTAATTATTTATATAGAATTTTGTTTTAAAATTAAAAAAATAAGCTTTATCTCGGACCGTCTTCTGATTAAAGCTAAAAGGGATTAACGATTTTTTTTTACAATTGTTGAAAGCTTTAATAAGACGTGTATGTTTCCATCCACATAGACCACAGGCCTTAGCGTGAAACATATTTTTCTTACAGTCACCCGACAAAGTGAGCTTCCTTGCACAGATTATAGTACAGAAAGCCTTAATTTGGCACACAGTATTTTCTTTGGTGCACACCAGTATTCCAACCAAACAACACAAAACAGGGTGCCTTATGCACGTTATCCGTGTACTCAAATAAGTTGGCAACACTTATTACGACTACGATCAGCTGGTGCAGCGTCTCCCATTTCGTTTAATGTTTGGATTTAACCTAACCTAAATACGTGTAGTACAGTGTTTGAAATGCCAATTATTTATATGATTTATAGTAACTGTAGGAAAAATACCATGTGTAACACGAGTTCAAACTGCCTTTACCCACTACTTACACAAATAACTATAGCAAAACAAGGAGTGAGCTGGTCTAGAACAGCCTCCAGAATCCAAATCCACGAGATTGCTGTTGTGGATCCAAAGTCCGTTGTACTATCCACAGTTTATTAGAGCCACTTACTTACGAAATTATATGCATATACAGTATTATAAAATTACGATTAGCTCGGTAAAAACCTGTTCATCATATTGTCCCCATTGAACTATCTGATACCTAACCTCCGTTTCCAGTAGAGCAGGCCAGTATAATCCATCCAACACCAAGAGACAGTGCAGGTCTGTGAAGGATGCCGTATGTAGAGTCTAGCCAAGGTGTGTAGACATACTCAGGGTCTTGGAAAATAGACACGGACAACACTGAAGTGAGTATCAACAGTGAGGATACGATCCATCCAGCCCACTTTTGAACCTAAAAACATCCATTGTTGTTTATTATGTAGTATTTTATTTTGATTTATTAGGTAGGTAATAATTTTTGTAAATAATATCTCTGTATTTGGCTATGCCTTAAAAAAGGTTTTAGGATCCGCATAACGAATTTATGTTATTTATATGTGTCCATCGTTCTATTTATGATACAAAATGTACCAACGTAAGGACTGTCTATATATATTTTTTGTGTTAAATGACTTGTGAAAGCATTGGATTCATTTTGATCTAACTTTAGAAAACACAAAAGCAACCGTGTAAAAAATAAACGATTGTTTTTGACATTGATTAAGTAGTCTAAGAGATGTATTTACTAGCTTAGTTATTATTTAAGACCATGATAATGAGAGTAGTAAATATTAAGTACTTAATTACTTTAAGAAATAGGTAAAAGTAAAATTTGGATTGGCTTTCAAGATTGTTTGTTAAATTTGTCAGTCTTTGGCTTAGTAATGAAGATTCAAATGAATAGGTGTATTCATTGGGTTTTTATTTATCAAACAAAACTCAAATGATTTGTAATTTAATGTATTATGGCAAACTATTTGAACATACTCTGATATGTTACGTTACAAACAAAATAATCTACACATATTTGTCGTAGGTCTTCATCTGATAAAACGTTGACCGTAAAACTAACCCATTTTATTGATTTTATTTACAATATAATAGTTATGAAACTTGGTTTATAGTATTCATTACCTTTGTTATTTTCAATATTATCTGTCCCTTGTTAATTTTGAACACCAGATAACCAAGGTATATTCCAATAAGGAAGGATGCTAATCTGTACTGGGTATAAAAATAGTCCAGTATATTGGTTCCTTCTCTGGTCCTATCCCTGAAATAATAAACATCTTATTTGAAATTTGAGATATTTTTTAACGTTGTTTTATCTTTTTACAATTATTATAATTTTAAATGCAATTTAATAAAGCCGATGTGAAATAGTAACCACAAAATATAAAGGTTTAAACAATATAAGGTTTTAACAACATAATATATCATAGAAATATGTTAAAACCAAGGTAACACATTTAATCAGTACGGTTTAAACTAAAATTTAATATCTATTGTATATCCTTAAAAAGAACATATCAATGTTTAGGTCAGTTCTAGAAACCCGTATTTATCTATAGACAATTATGTAAACAAAATGTTGTAAAGATGTTTGTGACTTGAGTGTGATGTATTTGATTTATGTAACGGTAAATAAATAATGTGACTCAATCTATGCATATTACAATGTTTTACGGAAATTAAAAATGTTTAATTTTATTTGTCAATAAACGCCTTGTGTAAATGTATCCGTTTGTTATATAAAATAATCCCTCCTGAATTGAAAATTAATTTTAAATAATTTGTTTTCTAATTTCCTTTTTACCACTCTTTATTACTTTTATTAGATAAGATATATTGGTTTTATTGTACGATTTTAAAAATAAAATGTTTTATTAACTTTTCAAAATTAAAAATATTGTTAGAAACGCATCAGTAATAGGTTTGAGATGATGCATCCATATGATTTCTAGGAGTATATCTCTTTAATAAAAAAATAAATTCAAAAATTGTTATCATTTCTAGTAATTTGTAAAAATAAGTAGATTTTATATATTTTACACTTGGGAGTGGGTTATGGCTATTTACATTACAAGTGTAGTAAGAGTGTTTTTACATCACGCAGGTGACTGTTTAGGTAAGTGTGATAGTTGCATAATTCTCCTAAGTGATGTAAACAAGCTCTTGAGTGTAACGTACAAGATTTTACCTGACCCGACAATATACAGGAGGCTACGAACAATATTTTTCATAATCCATTTCACTCATCTTAGCTTAGGAACATTGTTTAAAGCACAACAATAAAATTCAAGCGCACACCTGATTTCTAGCGTTGAGCGTCGTTGGCTCCATAGAGGTATATTCTTTTTAAGTTAAGCACTCAATGTTATTTAAATGGGTTTCATTACCTCACCGAGTGAGTTTTTTCAACTTTACATCACTCGTGAAGTAAAGAAGTTGTATTCATCACGCTTGGGATAGGGAAGTTTAACATGGCAGGTTAGGTAAAAATTAAAAACATTTTTAAACTGTAGAAAACTAGAGGAAATGCAATTTAAAAAAATCCAACTTACATTCGGATCAATCCTCCAGCCTGTATTTCGAGTAAGTAAGCATTGATTATTCCTCCCAAGGTTGAAGCGAAGAATGTGACTCCTAAGAAAAAAAATCCCCAGCGAGAGTTTCTATACAGTGGAATCAAAAGCAGCGGAGAAAATATGTACATTTGAAACTCTACTGCCAAATACCATGTTTGAGGAATGCACTGAAACACGCATAGAGTTCACCAATATTGCATTCCTAACCACTTTTGTTTATAAAGGTATCACATTTTATATGAGAATTTTATTATCATTCAGTTACTAACAATATTAAATATGTCAACTGAATATGTCACAATAATAAATATGTCACACCTTATACATACAAATTGAATTTTTTCATCCACAATATTATCTACAACAATCATTGGAAAAAGTTTTCTTTAACTTTGCCTAAATAATCTTAAAAACTATTTTTATCGAAATACATGTATCTCCTATTCATCGTTCTACGTGCAGTTAATTTATAATAGTTCACAACGAAAATATGTCGTTTTCCAACTACTGACGATAGTAATTATTTGTTAAAGGAAAAAAAACCAATCCTTAAGAAATCCCCCCCCCCCCTACCACTGATCTGTGTAATTAGGGAAACCCCGTAAAAAACAACTATGATTTTTGTTCAAAGGTTAAATCTGTTTAAGAAATCACCTCACCAATTTTGCTTTGCGTTAAAAATGCCGATAGCAAACTTTATAATAGTTGCTAATATCGTTGATAAACCTGTGTTCATACAGTTAAATTGAGTCAAGTGTAGTTCGATAAATTTACAACCGTATTAATTTTGTTATTACATATCATCAAAAGGGCAACACGAAAAAAAATTGGAAAATTGTACTAAGGTAAAAAATTTGTAACAATACATATCCATATTGTATTCTAAAATAAAAACAATAGAACACAAAAATATGATGTACTAGTACAGGGTAGTCTTTTTAAATTACGTAATGCTCAATATTAGACATTGATTTACTTAGCTATGAGATCTATTGTACATGAGCATATTACCATTTCATACGGAGTGATGTAGTTGCTGATGTATAATAAGTTGGCCCACCAATGTTTCTGGCAAAACTCCTGCTGGAAGACAAAGAGACGCCTCCAGACAGGACCTTCTGTTACTCTAACTAGAACAGTCGCGTAGAGTAGAACGACCAATGCGAGGGGAGGAGTCAACCTACATAAGAGGGGGGATTTGATATTTTGGGCTTAATTTAAATACAAAGAAAAAATACTATTTTACTGAATTAAAGGTGCCTATTTACAATATTAATTATCAAACATGACATGTAGTTCAATTATAATAAATTGAAATTTTTTATTTGATTTTAAGTGTGTATAAGTCAGTGGCATTTTTTACGTTTCGAAAAGGAACTGTCCAAACCCTGGTCTAACGTCAACCTTTTTGTTACATAGCATCATTAATTCATAGCCCAATGACAAATGACATCTGGGTCTGGAAACGATCTCGCATGGAATCGAACCAGCGACCTCCAGATTTGAAGAAGGGCAATATAACCACTCGGCTACCCAGACGGTTATGGTTTTACAATGCCACATGGTCATTTCTTATTTAGTTAGCGGGTAAATGAATCGTTATAGATATTGTTTAGTAACTACTATTATAATTACTGTAAATTACTATAGAATACTCGTAAAATGTTCGATTAAATCTTTTAGAGAGGCAAGCTAAGTGGGTGAGTATGCCATTAGAACGTTTCCCTGAACACTATAAGTTTTGTTATCTTGTGTAGTATTCTAAAAAAAAATTTGATTAGATTTAATTTAATATACAAATAGTAGCTCAAACATTCCTCTCACAACCATAGTTGTCTGTTTTACCTTTTCCCGCTAGGCATTTTTTTTTTCTTTTTTGTAAGGGAGAGGAGTGAAAATGCTTTTACGCACACAGGTAGCCAGCATGTAGTGTGAGACTCCTGAATCTATCACAGACTACTCACTAACCTCCTCCACTCTGTTGGACACAGACCTGGAATTGTTTGTCACATTACTTCAAGTCAGGCCAACATGTGACCTAAGCCCATTTTTGGACTCTCACCATTTTTGGCATTTAGATACTTTATGACCTACACCACATCCCGGTCAAGGTCGAGCTTCTTGGCGAGGAGAATACCCTGGATGTAATGTGACACACAGGTCCAATTGTCCTCACAACGCTGACAGTGGAAAAAGGTATGTTCCACATCATCGGGAATGCCTGGGCAGTATATGCAATCAGGTGACACGGGTTTGCCCATCCTGAACAGGTACGACCAGAAAAAGCCGTTACCCGTCAGAAATTGGGTGAGGTAGAAGTCCACATGTCCGCACCGCAAAACCTATATTATGTCGCGCTAGACATAATATAAGGAGAAAGTATAATTTTCGTAAAAATTCTCGAGTTTAAGTTTTGTGTGGACATATCCGTTTTTGATCCCCCCGAACACAAAAACGTTGTTTTCAAAAATATGTCTGTCCGTGTGTGTGGGATTATGTGGATTTTTATCTGGTTCCCAAAAAGAATGCCTCGATCAATTTTGCTAAACATCAAATATGTTAAGTATTGTCCTTTAATTTCTTAAAAAATAAAACAGTACCATCCCGATTATAGTAAAACTTCCGCGTATCTGATTTCCCTTAAGATATCCGAGTTCCTCCCACCTCTTATCCATGATAAGGCTTGTTGGCAAGCTAATGTGAGAAAGTATATATCAGATTGCTAATACCGTTTATTTATCGGCGCAATTGTATTAAAGGCAGCATTGTTTATTCCTAACCGATCTTAGACAAATAATACGAAGAAAAATAATAGATGATAGAAAATAATATGAAAAAGTATTATGTTCATCATTGGGATTTAGAAAAAAAACCTCCTTATTATTCAGTTTTAAATAACCACACTGCTTGTATTGTTAGGTGATTGTCAAAGGTGATAAACTCTACAAAAGCACAAGTCTCAGTCCAACCAAGAAAGATGTCACTTCAAGAATGAAACTTCACACAGTAAACTACAATTGATGACGATGGTTCGACTCACCTTAGGTAATGATGTAGCAGAAACTGTTTGTTAGAGAAGCCTCTGCCGGCTTGACAATGGCGGAAGTAATTGTATGTCACTTTCACCCCTGTGATTAGAAAGAATATCTCGACAGATAACTGAGCGTTCTCTACAGGGGCCCAGGCTATGTTGTCTATGTTCTGGAAGTATACAAGATGCCGACAATTAATGGCGTTGGTGCAGAATTTACATAAGTTATATGTTTATAGGCCTACTTAATAAAATAGTATGCGTTTGTGTACGAAATTGTTTTTACCCGTGGATTGTTTCCCAACAAAATATAGTAGAATACAGTTAATATTATAATTTACTAGAAATCACAAACTGGTTTTGAAGCTTGTACAGGATGTCCCAGCACATGAGTTGCAATCTCACATCGGATTTTTAAAACTTTGACTGTGAGTTCCAATTTTATGATTTTATATTGTATACACTTTGAACAGAACCTAGTACATAAACTGAGCAGGAGATGTGATTTATCTTTAATGGACATCTAGAATAAATTCCTAAACTATCTACTAATGAGAAGGCCTGCAAGTAGGTCTAACTTATATGATCCGTGCTCACAGTAAAAATAAGTTATATAATAAAATTACAATCCATTAAACCTTATGAAAAAAACTTATTTCAATAAGACGTATTACTATACTGCTGAATAGAAAATAAACCAATATTTAGGAAAATAGTATGTATCGAATCGACAGTTTTGCAGATACATTATCATTGTGTATATGATCAATTATCATAAACATATGAAATTGGGTTTTCATAAATATAGAAAACTAGTAGTATAAGGAAATATGAATAACAGATCATGTTTATAGAAATATATCAACGCAAACCAATCTATTGTTTATTGCTACAAATGTCTCTTATTTAAACATTTATATAATAAAACTATTTTGTGTAATTTAATTATTAAGTGTTTGTACCTCTTCCATTAGTTCATTGCCACTAAAATTTTATTTAAATATTTGATGTAATTATCGACTATTAAAGTGTAGGCTAAGGTTAATTTATTTTGGGTTCCGTTAGGTTAGAAACAAGACCAACATACAATTTCAATTGTGTATTGTTACATGTTATTTTAATAGTGATTTAAAGAGAAAAGTCTTAATTTCTGTGTGATAAATTACAAACAAAATAGAATGGCTATGTCTCCATACTTGTAAACTTATTACGCATCTACCAACTATGGGTATTTTACCCAACTATGGGTAAGTGGGTATTTTACCGAGTTACCTCAGCCAAATATTTAAACCGAAAGTTAGGACAGGCAAGTAGGTGTATCATGCGATATCCAAGCATCATCCAAGCCATGGCAATCACCCGTAGACCTGAGAGACATCTTGGTGTGTTGCAGGTGTGAGAAGTGTCTAGGAGACTACGACAGTTGCGAGATACAGAAAAACTCCTCAAAAGCTCAGACCAACATACATCTGAATAAAAACAACAGCTAATGAGTGCTGAATGATGTAATCAAGCTATTAAGCCTTTGCATAAATTGTGTACTCAATTCTTCTAACTATCAAAAATTAGCTTATTCTGGAGATTTTCTGCGGTGGGTGTATTTTAAGTATTATCAAGAAATAACATACTGCTTACTCTTTTATTTTTGCTCAATTAAATAATTTACGTAATTAAATCCAAATTTTAATTAGGTCCTTGATTAATTAGATCCTTATTAAGATTATTTCCCACGGTCAAATAGTTTTTCACATGCCATTAAGCACTGTTTATTTTGGCCTGTTTTAATTAAGAAAATATTGTACTTGAAGGGGGATATAACGTTAAAATTAAAATTTTCTCAACATGAAAATGTGTAATAATTAATTTACAAAATGAAAACCTTCATTAATCGCAGTAAAAACAACTAAAACGTTAGAAAGTTGCAGAAAGTATTAGTGAAAGATTAGCATTACTTTTTTTCTCCCTTACACATTCTGAATAAAAATAGTTTTAAGTGGTAAGATATTATTCGGCAATAGCCTAATGAAAAAGTTGATTTGGTCATTGACAAAGATTTGGTATAAAGCTATCAATTACCTGGATAATGAAGTAGAGGCTGTTTAACAGTTTAATACGTTACCTGTATTATCAGAGCTGTTGTCAAACCACGTACCAGCGGTGACTAGTAGAAGTATAACTATCACAACCAACCTAAAAGTAACACAAGCATATATTTGAAAACAGCATATGATTAATCAGACAACTCCTCCACATAGCTTATACGTTTAACTGTTACAGAACTGCATATGTTTTACATAACTGATTTTTAAGCGTTAGAAATGAGAAAAAAGGGTAAACATAAGGTCAATATTCCCAATGTACAATAGTCGAACAGTTAATATACATGTATTCTTTGAGTCGTAAAACAACTAGTTTTTTTTGGCAGAGCTCTGTGATTAAACTAAGTGGAAATCCATTATCCGTATTAAAAAATAAATATGAATATTTATGCAAAAAGATTAACTCTTTTTCGAGTTTACGGGTGGCTTATAAATTATTTTACAATTAATATTTTTTAAATGTAAATCTACATGACTGTTTGTTTTGACAAGAAAAAGTTAAATGTCATATTTGTAAAATATGCATATGTAAATAAAAGAATAATAGCTAGTGTGTTTAATGTTTATTGTAATACTAGACAATTCATTCTAGATCAAGGTGTAGGTAGTTTTATTATACAAATGAACCACCAGCGGAATTATACCACTGATTTAGTAAGAAATGAGAAAATTTTACGGATTGTTAGACTCGCTTAAGCTCCTCCAATGAAATCCATACTTAAAACATTAGTTTCTAGCAGATCAGCACATTACTTTAAATTTTGCCTCAAGGGAATCCTCTAGGGTATTTGCTGGTTATAGCCCGATCAAGATCGACCTTTCTCACCCAAAGAATAGACTGAACGAAATGCTTAACGCAGTTGAAGGTGTTGGGGGCATTGCTCAATAGATGTTTGTGAACACAATAATAGTGCGTTGAAGTAAATAACTGTTTCCTGTCAAACTCCCTTCCAACCAAGTCAATCTGAAAATCCAGCCTATGAACACAAAGTAACCTCTACGCTACATCAACTATCACTGTTGGACAAACTAAGGGAGAAAATGTATTTTCGGCTGTAACACTCTGTTCATAGCCCATTCGTCTATGTGACGTTCTTTCAAATAAAATAAAATCTGACCACATCTGATACTTACAAATAAGGTTAAGACTTTATTTGTCAAAAACCAATAGTTATACTTACATAGCGACGCGGTCTCCCCTGGTCCATGGTAGAGGCTTAACCGATGAGCAGCTGGAGTTGTAAATAATAGCAGAAGCGTTGACAGAGTTGAGCGCAAGGTCCATGTGAGTCTTAACATCTCGGGAACTACACGAGTCAGGAACACACACGGAGAACATCAGATCTATCCTCAGTGTGGGTAGAATAGGACGCTGGAAACATTAATAAACATTTGTACATTTTTGATTATGTAGCTTAATGGTTACAATTTTCACGTTTAAATGTAAGGACTGCTACCTGGTTCAGTTCCAGACTGGGTTAATTCTAGAACATTCCCTTAGGGCTCACAACCAATAAAGTTATCTAACAAAAGGTTGGCGTGTAATGGTAAATAGAAAAAAAACATAAATTATATTTGAATAGTAGCAAATAGCGTGACAATTCACCCCTAAATTTAAATAAAACTATTAATTTAATACTTAAATATGGTTGCCTATAAAGATGATTTTTGGATGCTTTGGATGTGTAAATGCTGAATAATAATGTCTAACACAATTCAATTGCACATTATTAATCAATATATTCGAAATATTGTGACAACATGCTCAAACAAACTGTTTAGAATGAGTAATAACTTTAGTAAACAGAATAAAAAAATCATACAATTATTACAATTCCCCTACACATTTTCAGATTTTTCTTTGCGGGGACTCATCCACTAAGTATTTCCCATTCCAACAGAATTAAATTTGAGTTTTTTATAAAAGTAATCGGTTATCCGATTGCCAAAATAGTATTAGCAGGATTCCGAAGATTTAAAACAAACCATTAAAATATTACACATCTCTAAATAACTACCATTGTTTAGACATTGTATGATACATCACGTATGAGATGTCAACAACAAACATGTTATGAGATTACACAGAAACTCTCATGACCTTATCAAGCATAACTCTCCAGTCAGAACATAGCCTGGGGGGTAATCAATCTGATCAATGAATATGCAATTGAGTAGCGGTAGATGATTGTAGACTCTTGAGACTTAACCTTTGGGTTCAAGGAGTCCATATCCAGTGGTAGTATTCCTCTTGTCTCCACCGCACATAGTTGTCCACCAAACAGTCCTTGTGGATGCCTGGCGCTGAGGCACTGTCCATGGTTACCCAGGTCCATAATGTTACCGTCCAGGAGTCCGGAACCGCCCTTGGAGGAAGCGTCCACCACTGAATGTGAAACTTTATTTGTGAATGGTTCTCAATAAAAATGTTAAGCTATTTTTATAAACAGCTTCTACATTTAACTGATTTACTGATTTAAATGACTTACGTTGTTCCCTTGTAATACTTAACAGACTACATTTTTAATTTTAATTAGTAAAGGGGTTTAGTGTGTAATTATAGGCTACAAATAAATGTAATGTTATTAAATAATATAGTTGCGAAACTCTTATACCACTCTTGTTTGAAATAAATGTTTTGGCTATAATAGTCTACAACCTAATTGGTTGTTTCCCTACATTTTATACTCTCAGTTAAGTCTTTTTAGTACGTATTTACTTTTTTGACAATAAACAATAAAAATGTGATTTTTTACAGATCCAAGCAAATAGCCTTAGTAATTTTCGTTTTGTCAGTGTTGGTCTAGCGTTGAATGATCATTACTAGACATGAGTATTTGAAAATTACTCCTCTAATTTCCTTTTTATTTTAATTATAAGAATAATGTATTTAAGCGTATTTAACCGTATGGTGAGTCGATAGCTCAGTTGGTAGCGTCACGGACTTCGGGCCCAAGGCAGCAATGTCGTGGGTTCGGATCTTGGTCACTGCCACTAAAATTTATCAGTACAGTTCACCTTCGTATTGTACCGGCTCACCCCTTGCTTTGCTGGATACGTTCCACGCACAGATCTGTAGTCTATGTGGACGGGCAAATGCAAGATTAAAAGAGGCCACCAACCTCCTAAAAAAAATTCACTTTTCAATTAAAACAACCATAATAGGCAAACTATAATAACTACAATCAAACAAGGTTAAAAAGTTGTTAACAACTTACTTTTCAGTGCCCAAATTTCGTAGTTTAGAAAGGCATCGAACAAAAGAGAGCTGTGATTGCGGCAAACATCCAGCTCTGAGTCTATTGGAATGTAGTACGTAGCGGTGTGGTACATTGCCTCGTCTAAAACCTCCTTGGGTAGAGGTGCAAGGATCTCTCGTACCTCTGCTAACCTGTGCAGTATCTTGGGCACCATATCGTCTATCTTGTCTGATACTGGGAAAATAACACAGTACACAGTGCATTAGCCTGACACTAATTTACATGATTTATTTCAATTTAATATTAGAGTCCCACGGCTCCATTGCTTTAATAATTTTTACAATATTATTCTAGTTGGATTATTTTAATACAAACAGTGTCAAGTAGTGTGATTCTAGGTGTGGTTGAAAACCTTTTCTTCATTCCTCCTCATAAGCCATTGTAATTGACACGACCCATACAACTAACAGACATTAGTGGATCTTACATGACACGTGGGGAAAGATAATATGAGGATTTACATGTCATTCAGTTTTCCAACTAGTACTTTATTTTTGTATGCTAGGATCTTACGTATACGTTGGTTGTAATCGTCTCGAGGCAAAACTAATTGTTATACATGTTCAGAGAGATGTGTTAAATATGTGTGATGATTGACAAATTGTGAATACATGAAATTTTGGTTAAAATGTTCGTTAATGCTCAATACAATGTACAAAGACGGTAAGAACATAAAAAAATATATTTATTATTACTACACACAAAGGATCACATGCTCTTCGTAATGTACATCATCCCATCTCTACCAACTGGAATAACCTTCTCCAAGCAGAAAAATAATCGGTGATAAAGTTCTAAAACTTTGGTATACAATCAACCATAACAACAAGCCTTGTACAAAAAAAGTAAATTCTATAGTTATTTTGCTGATAAAACGTTACTAAAATAGTACGTTAAACATAATGTTTTATATAACATTGGTAAAACTTTCTTTGTTGAGAATAAGCATCGATAAGCACCGTCCTAGAAGGTTCTCCTATTCAATTATACCACCAAGTAGTTTCATTCGAGGGAAATACTTTAGTATGGACACTGCAAAAATAGATAGTTTGGATGTTTGAAATTATTACGTATTATGAACACTTTTTATTCCAAGTAATTGTGTATTTGTAGGTTACTACATAAACTTATTGCAATGAAATGTATTTTTAGACTCTTTGGAAATATGTTTGAATATACTTTTGCCATTACCATCTTTTTTAATTTTTAATACTGTAATTTTAAACATAATACACATTATAGTTATATAAGTTTTTCTTTCTTACCTACACATGTTGTAAGACCTATCACCATCAGCAATACTAGATGACCTCCCATGGCGCTGTCACATTGCGACTGTTCCTCCGCCCCCCCCCCCTTCACAGCACTCACGAACACACTCTCTCTCTACGATCTTCAATATTAAGGATTCATTAGCCGTCTCCTACCTAAGAACCATCATACATTATTATGCATCTGATAGTTACTTAGAATTAATGATATTCTGTATTGAAGTTAATGTAAACATTTCAGTACGGTCACTTGACAGTGTGGAAACGGTGGCATGATCTATACGATGTAAAAAGGATAGTTAACTCACTTTCCCTTTGCGGTCTTTAGGCCACTTATGGTGTCCACTGTCTATTTAAAGCTAGATATCATAAACTTTACCCAGTTGTACTCACAGATACGCTAGGCCACTGTGTTAATTTTAATCTTTTTGTTAATGCCGTGTGTAAATTTTGCTGTTTGGTACCCACTGTTGTTTTTGCGTCAGGTGTGATTAAACAGTTTTCCTCAGTAGGTATAGCGGTTTCTGAAAACTCGGTTGACAAAGTGAGGTAAGCATGTAAAACCCCTAAATTTACAAATTAATTTGGCTGATTACGTATTTTAGCAATTTAATCAAATAAATAATATTATAACCTCCATCTTCATTGCTGTAATTTTTATTGGTATCTAAAAATATAACAGCTATTTAATTTATTTTGTAGTTGATGCTTAATTTTAAAAGCAAAAACCTAACTATATTCTAATAACCTTACAACTCAACATAAAATATATATATTAAAAACCTAAATTTATGATTGAATTCAAAATCAATTTCTTAAAATAAAATTACATTAAGAGTAAAATATATATTGAGAATACATATTTCTGCATAGCTGAAGAGTGACTAATTTAACTGCAAAATAAAATACGTCTAATGCTTAAAGCGTTAAGCGAGATAAATCTTATTTCAGGATTGAATTAATTATCAAGGGAAGTGATAATTTACTGTAATTGCCTTTGAATAGAAGGAGTAATTAGAAGATGCTTTTGATTAACTAATTTACTGAAAATATTTTGTTTTACAAAGGGATTTAAACACATATAACATTAGCCTGGTGGAGAGCCTGCAGTACTCTACTATTAACTTGTTATATTTTGTTAGTTTACATGTCTTTAAGAGCTAGGTTCAAATCTTACTTATAACTGATGGGTTTAGTTATGTGGTGGTGGATTGAAACTGTATCTAACTATAAACCAAAAAGTTAACAGTAACTTTCATTTCAAATCTCCCTTTACAAAACCATTCTATATTTAACATTTTATCTGTATAGGAAATATTGAGGATAACACTAGATTACAATAAGTTTCCGTGCTTTCATGAAGGATATTCCGTTGATTCAACTTATGTCGTTACTTTATCTCAACATGGATTTAAAGAAGATTTGCAAAGTAGATGTAGAGACTTACGTAACGTTAGTTTTATCCCAGATCACAGTCTTGTGGCGGGAAAGATATTTATATTCATCCTTGTGATAAAGCTTCCTTATCAATACACGATCACACTGACGATGTTTTAGTTAGAGCAAGAGTCTTCAATATGAGAAAAAAACCGAATGAAATAGTTCATGAATCATAACGTAGAGAGAACTTGTTATGAATAGATTAATATTATATGTTTTCAATTTAAAACTATTGAAAACTTTGAGAACGGACTAAATTATAAGTTTATTGGGGAACAAAATAAAATACAAAATAACCAATTTTACTTATAAAATTAAATTAAAAAATATTTCTCATAAAGGAATTATTCAATAATATTTTCAGTCAGTCTAAGATCTGTAGAGTTTATATCCGATGAACGATATTGTTACCAATAAAAAGCTTAGTTAGTTTGGAGAAGCTTTTAATTAATAATATAAAAGTTTTAGTTATGAAATGGTGGAATTAATTCAATCAATTAATCGTTCATTAGAAAATATGTTATTTATTAGCTAAGATTAATCATTGAATTAATAGAATCCTCCATCGTAAAAAAATCAAAACATATTTACTTGAACGACATAAAGATGTTTTGATTTATTACGAGAGTTGGTTTGACGATTGATATTGCCTATTGGGTCTGATGATGATTGGAGCGTCCAATCGAAATTGATCACTACTTACCAACTTTTATATTTATTTACCATCTAATGATCTCCAGTATCCAAACTAACTTTAAGCTATGATATTTATACACTTTTTACGTAAATATTTTAAACATATTTGGGTAATGTGTTGATACCATATAAATGTTATTAGACTATATATTTTGTTTTTTTCAGATTTTTATCGAACACCTATATGGTATCAACACATTACCCAAATATGTTTAAAATATTTACGTAAAAAGTGTAAGAATATTATTGCTCAAAGGGTGTTCGGATACAGGAGGTCTTTATATTAATTTATGTGCAGATCATTGATAAAAAGAAAAAAAATATATGAGTTTTGTCAACTTAAGGCTTTGGGTTTAAACAGAGAACCATTTTGTATTATATTCTTATTTAATGTACTAGGGTTTTTGGTGTGTGGTTTTGTCAATATTTACGTCATAATTCACATTTCAATGCATAAAGTGGTTAAAAGGGTTTCACAGAATAGCTATTTATCCGAATAACAAAATCTACTTCGAGGGATAAAATATCATTTCCCGTACCCCAGGGAGCACATTATTATTAGCGGTTTCATTTCCTTTCCATTCAATTTAGATTTTATAATTGTATCAGGACACGGGGGCATTACAGTTTCCCATTTAATTGGAAAATTGTAAAATCTCCTCACTTAAAATCAAAAATCACAATAACTGTTTTAAATCATGTTGTATTTTATATCAAAGTTATATTCGTGTATTGATAAATCAAAAGAATTATAGAGTTTAAATCATCCATTTTTTAGAAAGGTTATACATGTATTAATTGTTATTACACATGTATGAGTATACATGTATGTTAGGGAATGAACTGTAATACCTCCAACAATTAAATGGTTTTGCAGTTTATATAAATAAAAATATAAAAAAATCTTTCCCAAAAGTTTGCTTGGTGGCAAATTTCTTTTAGATAAAGCCCGCTATCACCGTAGGTGGCACGGAAAGGCCTGCACCTGGTATTTATTTACTTTTTTATGGCTCTAAGGGATTGCCCAACCCCCAATAGCTTCACAAACCATTCGCCAAACCAATAGAAAAACCATTCGCTTATACATATTTCGTCTCAGGACGACATCATAACTCTAAAACCAAAAGAGATATCACGTAAATATTTTGCATGTTATAGATGATAGTCGTAAGTTACTTTTTGTGTACATAAATTTTGGATGACACATATGAGGGACGGCTCATTGGGAGTAAACTGAAAATCTTAATGGTGAGGATAGGTTTGTATGTATACCAGATTAAAGGTATTTTTTAACTAAAAAACAATGCTGCAATCCGGACCTTAAATAAACAAATGAGTCAAAAAAGTGCAGCCATTCAAAGATTTCTCGAATCTGCCATTTTACGGCTGCCAATGCCATTCCCTTGTAGGTTTTGTGTGACACCCATTAATCTTACAAAACTAAATCTCGGCGATAAATCTTTTTCTTACCAAAATCTGTAGGTCAACAAGAGCTAAAAGCTTTGTGTAAGCAACGAATAATTTATATTTGGCTATGTAATTACTAACATTGGCCATAAAAACACTAAACCGATGAAAACATTTTGGAGGTAATAGCCAAAGTTTGCAATACTAATACGTACAACAATAAAAAAATTGGTAAAAGTCAACGCTTTTATACGTTAAAAGTTTTAAGTTAATTATAAATGCAAAATAAAAATAAATTATGAATACAAATGGAATAATGTTCCCTGATTAAAAGAAATAATTTATACCCAGACATAGTCTACATATTCCTAGACACACAACAAAATTGAACATAATTTACATGTTTTAAACATATTTGTCACGGAACACCAAAGGTCTTGCGAGCTAAAAAGTAGATTTTTAGATTTCATTTCACAGTATAAATAGAATTTTTTGCTCTGCAGTGAAAACATTTTTGTTGAAACCTTTCGATGGTCATAGGTACCAAGTCTTGTTGCCTGTGGTGACTAGGGCCACTTCTTTATAAGCTGCTGCTCTTTGATAGAGCATATACTTATGGACTAATGTGGGTCCATGCCATGCCAATAAAATAAGAAATGTTTAAACAATTAGAAAAAACATACGTTTCATAATTTTTCCAGGTTCAATCTTAAAGCTTCACTTAATGCTGCACAACAACACTTAATACTGTATATACAAAATATATAATCCGAACTTTTCAGATACACCAACTTGTGAACTGCAACATGATTTTTTTTGGGGTTGAGACATCATCATTTAAGCTGGCAAATAACTAATATGAAATATTTTAATAAGGCTAGCGTACTTAGGCATTAATGGATATTAAAACCAATATAGTCAATCGGACTGAACGAGAAGATTCAATTAATATAACCGTTTTTAGGTTTGGATGGCCATTTAAATTCAATGGCATTTTATTCAATCAAACATGAGTATGGTTCTTTTTAAAGAGGGTTTAGTGTTAGATTTGAACTAAATTCGAAAGTGGACAAGTCGTACATATATCAATGGTTTTATTATTAAGTAATAACTAAAATTTTACTCACCAACTGAATAAAAACAGCATCAATATTCACAAGAGAAGCTAATTTTTTATTTTTTATTTTCATTGGTGTGATAAAACATAGTAGGGGTTGTGACTTATCCTGCAAAGCCATCTTCTTGTTTATGGCGGATTCCTGGTTTACGAGACATATGGAAACCTTTATTGCACCAGATGTTTGAACTGTTAAGTTACGCAGCTTGTGTATTTTTTGAGACATTAGAGACTCTTTTTATATTATTTTAGATATTTATTAAATAATATAGGCCTACGTATTATCAGGTCTTTGTGACTGTTTGCATCCTCAATACGCTGTTGATATACATATATATATTTTTTTGTATAACCATATTTAACACAATGTTGTCTCGTTGAATGCG